GCTATAGCAGAAAACGACCACAAAGTCTTTACTTTTCGTCCATTTTTGGCCACTTATTTCATTGTTGAATAAGTGGCCAAAAATGACAAAAACAGTAAGGCTATGGCCTTAACTTTTCATCCACTTTTGGCCACTTATTTCATTTTTGCAAAAGAGGCAAAAAGTAACCCTATAGCCTAAACTTTTCGTCCATTTTTGGCCACTTATTTCATTTTTGAAAAAGAGGCAAAAAGTAACGCTATTATAGCCTTAACGTTTCGTCCATTTCTGGCCACTTATTTCATTGTTGAATAAGTGGAAAAAAAACGACCAAAAAGTAAGGCTATAGCCTTAACTTTTCGTCGATTTTTAGCGACTTTTGCCATTTTCCATATATGGGCAAAAGCGGCAAAAAAGAAGGTTATAGGCTTTACTTTTCGTCCATTTTTAGCGACTTTTTCCCCTTTTCATAAGTGGGCAAAAAACAGCAAAAAAGTAAGGCTATAGCAAAAAACGACCAAAAAGTAAGGCTATAGCCTTTACTTTTCGTCCATTTTTGGCCACTTATTTCATTGTTGAATAAGTGGCCAAAAATGACAAAAACAGTAAGGCTATGGCCTTAACTTTCCATCCACTTTTGGCCACTTATTTCATTTTTGAAAAAGAGGCAAAAAGTAACCCTATAGCCTTAACTTTCAGTCCATTTTTGGCCACTTATTTCATTGTTGAATAAGTGACAAAAAACGACCAAAAAGTAAGGCTATAGCCTTAACTTTTCGTCCATTTTTGGCCACTTATTTCATTTTTGAAAAAGAGGCAAAAAATAACGCTATATAGCCTTAACTTTTCATCTATTTTTGGCCACCTATTTCATTGTTGAATAAGTGGCCAAAAATGCCAAAAAAGTAAGGCCTTTTAGCGACTTTTGCCATTTTTCATAAATGGGCAAAAAACAGCAAAAAAGTAAGGCTATAGCCTTTACTTTTCGTCCATTTTTAGCGACTTTTGCTATTTTTCATAAGTTTGCAAAAAACAGCAAAAAAGTAAGGCTATAGCCTTTACTTTTCGTCCATTTTTAGCGACTTTTGCAATTTTTCATAAGTTGGCAAAAAACAGCAAAAAAGTAAGCCTATAGCCTTCACTTTTCGTCCATTTTTAGCGACTTTTGCCATTTTTCATAAGTTGGCAAAAAAACAGCAAAAAAGTAAGGCTATAGCCTTTACTTTTCGTCCATTTTTAGTGACTTTTGCCATTTTTCATAAATGGGCAAAAAACAGCAAAAAAGTAAGGCTATATATAGCCTTTACTTTTCGTCCATTTTTAGTGACTTTTGCCATTTTTCATAAGTTGGCAAAAAACAGCAAAAAAGTAAGGCTATAGCCCTCACTTTTCGTCCATTTGTAGCCCATTTTTAAATTTTTGAAAAAGAATATTGGCAAAAAAAAAAGGCTATAGCATAGTATACTTTTTCTTCATTTTTTTCGTGCCAAAAATTAAATGGGTCAGCCTTTAATTTTTGGCGACTTATTTTTTTTAAATAAAATTTGGTGGTAAAAGATTATGTAGAAATTAGTATAGGTGCCACCACAGATTAGATCTTCTAGTCGAGTGGTAGTCTCCTGGTGTTGGCTGAGGGAGTACTGCGGATCTGTCCCTGTTGTAGTCAAAACCATTTTCATGTCAGGTATCGTTTTTTACTAATTCCACCCGAGACGAGAATGAGTTAAATAGAATAAAAAAGCACTTAAAGCAAGTGTAGGCGAGTTGGTCTAGTGGTAAAGACGAAGTGTTGCAAGTGCGTGAAGCCAGGTTCGATTCCTGGTTGTATCGTAACCATTTTAATGTCAGGCGCCGTCCTTTATTAATTCAACCCGAGACGGGAAAAAGTTAAGTAGAATAAAAAAGGAGTTAAAACAAGTGTAGGCGAGATGGTCTAGTGGTAACGACAAAGTGTTGTAAGTGCGAGAAGCCAGGTTCGATTCCTGGTGTGTCATAAGCTTTTTAATGTCAGGCGACGTCCTTAATTAATTCCACCCGAGACGGGAAAAAGTTAAGTAGAATAAAAAAGGAGTTACAGCAAGTGCCGGCGAGATGGTCTAGTGGTAACGACAAAGTGTTGCAAGTGTGTGAAGCCAGGTTCGATTCCTGGTTCTGTTAAGAACATTTTAATGTCAGGCGCATTCCTTAATTATTCCACCCGAGACGGGAAAACGTTAAGTAAAATAAAAAGGAAGTTAAAGCGAGCGTAGGCGAGATGGTTTAGTGGCAAGGACAAAGTGTTGCAAGTGCATGAAGCCAGTGTCGATTCCTGCTGTAGACAAACAGCATTTTAATGTCAGACATCGTCCTTTATTAATTCCACCCGAGACGGGAAAACGTTAAGTAAAATAAAAAGGGAGTTAAAGCAAGTGTAGGCGGGATGGTCTAGAGGTAACGACAAAGTGTTGCAAGTGTTTGAAGCCAGGATCGATTCTTGCTGTAGTCAACGGCCATTTTAATCGAGGGAACCTTTTCCTGACGCTGAGGATAAAGTACCTGACGCTGAGGACAAGGTTCCTGACGCTGAGAAATTTCGAACCTTTTGTTCTATTGAATTTCAAGGCCCCTTGTAGCAAAAACTTGAATTTGCCACGGTCTGAAAATTGTATTTCTGGAATCTACGTTCGGTAGGCTTTCTGTCGATACCTCATTCTTCCATAACAAGAAAGTTCGTGAACATAAAAAGCAAGTTTTTTCAGCTGTGTAGTCGAAAAAGACCTGAAAGTTAATATTATGCTGTTTCGAACCTTATGTCCTCTTGAATCTGAAGGCTCCCGTAGCATAGTCTTGAATTTGGGCTAGTCTCGAAATTGTATTTTTGGAATCTACGGTCAATACGACAATAGGCTTTCTGTCGATGCCTTACTCAGGCATCACTAGGCCGTACGTGGAGATAAAAAGCAAGTTTTTCCAGCTGTGTAATCGAAAAAGACGTGAAAGTTAATATTATGCTATTTCGAACCTTTTGTTCTATTGAATTTCAAGGACCCTTGTAGCAAAAACTTGAATTTGGCACGGTCTGAAAATTGTATTTTTGGAATCTACGTTCAATAGGCTTTCTGTCGATACCTCATTCTTCCATAACAAGAGAGTTCGTGAACATAAAAAGCAAGTTTTTTCAGTTGTGTAATTGAAAAAGACGTGAAAGTTAATATTATGCTGTTTCGAATCTTATGTCCTCTTGAATCTGAAGGCTCCCGTAGCACAGTCTTGAATTTGGGCTAGTCTCAAAATTGTATTTTTGGAATCTACGGTCAATAGGCTTTCTGCCGATGCCTTATTCAGGCATCACTAGGCCGTACGTGGAGATAAAAAGCAAGTTTTTTCAGCTGTGTAATCGAAAAAGACGTGAAAGTTAATATTATGCTATTTCGAACCTTTTGTTCTATTGAATTTCAAGGCCCCTTGTAGCAAAAACTTGAATTTGTCACGGTCTGAAAATTGTATTTTTGGAATCTACGTTGAATAGGCTGTCTGTCGATGCCTCATTCTTCCATAACAAGACAGTTCGTGAACATAAAAAGCAAGTTTTTTCAGCTGTGTAATCGAAAAAGACGCGAAGTTAATAAATATTATGCTGTTTCGAACCTTATGTCCTATTGAATTTGAAGGCTCCTGTAGCAGAGTCTTGAATTTGGGCTGGTCTCAAAATTGTATTTTTGGAATCTTCGATCAATAGGCTTTCTGACGATGCCTTATTCAGGCATCACTAGGCCGTACGTGGAGATAAAAAGCAGGTTTTTCCAGCTGTGTAATCGAAAAAGACGTGAAAGTTAATATTATGCTATTTCGAACCTTTCTTCTATTGAATTTCAAGGCCCCTTGTAGCAAAAACTTGAATTTGTCACGGTCTGAAAATTGTATTTTTGGAATTTACGTTCAATAGGCTTTCTGACGATGCCTCATTCTTCCATAACAAGACAGTTCGTGAACATAAAAAGCAAGTTTATTCAGCTGTGTAATGGAAAAAGACGTGAAAGTTAATATTATGCTATTTCGAACCTTTTGTTCTATTGAATTTCAAGGCCCCTTGTAGCAAAAACTTGAATTTGTCACGGTCTGAAAATTGTATTTTTGGAATCTACGTTGAATAGGCTGTCTGTCGATGCCTCATTCTTCCATAACAAGACAGTTCGTGAACATAAAAAGCAAGTTTTTTCAGCTGTGTAATCGAAAAAGACGCGAAGTTAATAAATATTATGCTGTTTCGAACCTTATGTCCTATTGAATTTGAAGGCTCCTGTAGCAGAGTCTTGAATTTGGGCTGGTCTCAAAATTGTATTTTTGGAATCTTCGATCAATAGGCTTTCTGACGATGCCTTATTCAGGCATCACTAGGCCGTACGTGGAGATAAAAAGCAGGTTTTTCCAGCTGTGTAATCGAAAAAGACGTGAAAGTTAATATTATGCTATTTCGAACCTTTCTTCTATTGAATTTCAAGGCCCCTTGTAGCAAAAACTTGAATTTGTCACGGTCTGAAAATTGTATTTTTGGCATCTACGTTCAATAGGCTTGCTGTCGATGCCTCATTCCTCCATAACAAGACAGTTCGTGAACATAAAAAGCAAGTTTTTTCAGCTGTGTAATAGAAAAAGACGTGAAAGTTAATATCATGCTATTTTGAACCTTTTGTTCTATTGAATTTCAAGGCCCCTTGTAGCAAAAACTTGAATTTGTCACGGTCTGAAAATTGTATTTTTGGAATCTACGTTCAGTAAGCTTTCTGTCGATGCCTCATTCTTGTATAACAAGACAGTCCGTGAACATAAAAAGCAAGTTTTTTCAGTTGTGTCATCGAAAAAGACGGGAAAGTTAGAAATTATGCTATTTCGAGCCTTGTATTTTTTGAATCTACGTTCAATATGCCTTATTCTTCACGCACTTGCAACACTTTGTCCTTACCGCTAGACCATCTCGCCTACATTTAATTCGACTTCTTTTTATTCAACTTAACTCATTCTCGTTTCGGGTGGAACTAATTAACAACGCCTGACATTAAAATGCTTATGGATACAACCAGGAATCAAACCTGGCTTCACGCACTTGCAACACTTTGTCCTTACCACTAGACCATCTCGCCTACACTTGCTTTAACTCCTTTTTTATTATACTTAACTTTTTCCCGTCTCGGGTGGAATTAGTAAAAAACGATGCCTGAGATTAAAATGGCTTTGACTACAACAGGGGCAGATCCGCAGTACTCCCTCACCCAACACCAGGAGACTACCAGTACCACTCGACTAGAAGATCTAATCAGTGGTGGTACCTATATACTAATTTCTACATAATCACTTATCACCAAATTTTATTTTAAAAAATTAAGCCGCCAAAAATTAAAGGACTGACCCTTTACTTTTCGACACGAAAAAAATGACGAAAAAGTATAGTATGCTATATATAGCCTTATTTTTTTGCCAATTTTCTTTTTCAAAAATTGAAAAATAGGCTACAAATGGACGAAAAGTTAAGGCTACAGCCTTACTTTTTGGGTGTTTTTTTCGTCTTTTTCAAAAATTTTAAAATAGGCTAAAAATCGCGAAACGTCAAGGCTATATAGCCTTACTTTTTTGCTGTTTTTGCACACTTATGAAAAATGGAAAAAGTCGCTAAAAGTGTACGAAAAATTAAGGCTATAGCCTTACTTTTTTGCTGTTTTTTGCACACTTATGAAAAATGGTAAAAGTCGCTAAAAATGGACGAAAAGTTAAGGTTATAATATATAGCCTTACTTTTTTGCTGTTTTTTGCTCATTTATGAAAAATGGAAAAAGTCGCCAAAAATGTACGAAAAATTAAGGCTATATATAGCCTTGCTTTTTTGCTGTTTTTTGCCTACTTGTGAAAAGTGGAAAAAGTCACTAAAAATGGACGAAAAGTTAAGGCTATATATAGCCTTACTTTTTTGCTGTTTTTTTTTCCCCACTTATGAAAAATGGTAAAAGTCGCTAAAAATTAACGAAAAGTTAAGGCTTAACGTAACCTTAAGATTAACCTCAACTTTTTGGCGATTTTTGGCCTATTTTTAATTAAGAAATAAATAAACGGTCTAAAATGGATGAAATACAATACCTTACTTTTTTTTGCATCCCCCCCCCCCCACTTTTTCAAAAATGAAAAAAGTGGTAAAAAGTGGACGAAAAATTATAGCTTTATTTTTTTCCATTTTTTAAAAAATATGTTCAAAAAGTAAAATCTGACCGCTTCACTTTTTCTCGACAAGGGCTATCCTTTTTATTTTTTACCATTACCTTTTGTCAGCAAAATGTCAAAGAATTAGCATTTGAATTTTTCGGCTGAAAATGGCCAATTTCAATATGGCCAAGGGTATCCCTTAATAGTTTTTTCATAAAAGATAGGAGCTAACAGCTTTAGTTTTGGAAAATTAACGAAATGGCAATAATGGGCTAATAGTATATGTACCACAAATTACCCGCCCGCTCGCCATAATCCTTACTATATTTGCTTGTGCTTAATAGGGTCATTACTTAACGCATTGAGTGGCAGCACTCTCTCCTTGAAGAGTAAAATCGTCTGACGTAAAATAATCTGACGTTACACCGAGTAAAATAATCTGATGTTACACCGAGTAAAATAATAGAGTAGGGGGCATAAATCAGGCCGCGTTACTGCTTAAAAGGATCAAGAGAATCAAACGGCTGATTTTCCACTTTTTATTTGAAATATGGTGAATAAATGCATTAATTATCATATACAGAAATAAAGTTATAGTTTGTATAATACCTGATTTGGTAAGGTTTGTTTGGTTTTAGTTCTCGATGCCTCAGATGAATTGATGTTCTCCATTCATTATTTTATATGTTCACATTTTTAGGGCTTCTCATAATGTCTGAATGATATATAAGCTTTCTTTTCTTAACATGCACAAATCTGTTCTTAGAAAACATGTCACTTTCATAAAGCGTCAAAACATACACATTGATCTGTCTTGCCTGGAAAAGAAAACATTATATTCAGTTCATATTACACCTTAGATTGAATCAATGGTTTGAAGAAAATTGAAGAATTGAAAACTGAGAGGATGTCTGTGGTCCCGTCTTCGTATTTCATCAAAATTTTCAAATTTTGTACGACGTGTTTTGTTTGGAGTGATTTAGGGTAAAAGTTGAAAATTTGATCAATATAGGAATAGACATTTTCCAAATTAATTTGAGTGTACAGATGAAACTATAACTTAACCCATTGAGTGTCAGCACCCTCCATTTGACAAGTAAAATCATCTGTCATTAGACAGAGTAAAATAATAAAGAACGATGCATTACCACTTTAATTAAAACAAGATGCATGGGCAGATTAACCCATTGAGTGTCAGCACACTCCATTTGACAAGTAAAATCATCTGTCATTAGACAGAGTAAAATAAGAAAGAATGGTGCATTACCACTTTAATTAAAACAAGATGCATGGGCAGATTAACCCATTGAGTGTCAGCACACTCCATTTGACAAGTAAAATCATCTGTCATTAGACAGAGTAAAATAAGAAAGAATGGTGCATTACCACTTTAATTAAAACAAGATGCATGGGCAGATTAACCCATTGAGTGTCAGCACACTCCATTTGACAAGTAAAATCATCTGTCATTAGACAGAGTAAAATAAGAAAGAATGGTGCATTACCACTTTAATTAAAACAAGATGCATGGGCAGATTAACCCATTGAGTGTCAGCACACTCCATTTGACAAGTAAAATCATCTGTCATTAGACAGAGTAAAATAAGAAAGAATGGTGCATTACCACTTTAATTAAAACAAGATGCATGGGCAGATTAACCCATTGAGTGTCAGCACACTCCATTTGACAAGTAAAATCATCTGTCATTAGACAGAGTAAAATAAGAAAGAATGGTGCATTACCACTTTAATTAAAACAAGATGCATGGGCAGATTAACCCATTGAGTGTCAGCACACTCCATTTGACAAGTAAAATCATCTGTCATTAGACAGAGTAAAATAAGAAAGAATGGTGCATTACC